TCCCTAGTAAGAAAAGCCTGCAGAGCTGCAAGTCGATCTAACACTGCTTTTTCTCTGTCTGACCATGTGCTGTTAACCAGAGGTTCTTTACCTGAGGTCAGTGAATATTCAAACCAGTGGATATAATTTTCTGTTATCCATGTGCATGTATTTTCCTGAAGGGATGATTTATTCTTCTCCTCATTCTTAAAAAGATCTATTTTCTTAAAGAGCCACTGTAATACTAATTGTAAACTCTTGCAAAATGATGTGAGTTCCTTGAGGACAAGAGCCTGTCCTTATAAATTTTGATATCTTCATGGAACCTCTGTCAATCTTGACTGAATGAATGGCTAATGGTGCCCCATTAGATGGGCAACAGAGATGATTGTGTTTGTCTGTTCTCACACCGCTGTGAAGAAACACCCGAGACTGGATAATTCATGAAGGAAAGAGGTTAAATTGACTCAGTTCTGCATTGCTGGGGAGGCCTCAGGAAACTTACAATCATGGTCAAAGGCAAAGGAGAGGCAGGCACCTTCTTCACAGGGCAGCAGGACAGAGAAAGTGCAAGCAGGAGAAATCACAGGGGCTTATATAACCATCAGATTTTGTGAAACTCACTATTACCAGAAGAGCATCGGGGAACCTGCCCTCATGATCCAATTACCTCCACCCAGTCCCACTCTTGACTGGATTGGTGATTACAGGGAATACAATTCAAGATGAGATTTTGGGTGGGTACATAGCCAAACCATATCAATGATAAAATACTGATTTTACCTCGATAGCCTGTTGTTTAACTTAAAAAATAAAGATACCTAGGAAACATTTTTTCATAATGTCCTCTGTTAGAATAACTTGTTGCTTAAAATTAGTGCCTTGCACACTCTCTTATTTCCTTAATCATTTTGCAGAGGGGGGATTAGTAGATTTATTTCATTAATGAGGATGCTAGGGCTGAGATAAGTCATGTGACTTGCTGAGCATCAAACAGCATGATAGCACACTTGGGACTTACATCCAAGTCTTTGTTCTCCAAGTTTTGTACCTTGTCCCACTTATCCAAGGACTGGAAAGCCAGGTTAGTTTAGTAGGTAAAGCCCTATAAACATGGCTTGGTCTAATCCTGGCTCTAGCACTTCCTGTATGACATTGGACAAGTTCCTAACCTCTGTAAGCCTGCATTTCCATTTATAAAATAGAGACAATAAGTGACTCTACTTATAAGGTGATTGCAAATGTTTAAATAAGATAGTGTGGGCCAGGTGCGGTGGCTCAAGCCTGTAATCCCAACACTTTGGGAGGCTGAGGCGGGTGGATGACGAGGTCAAAAGATCAAGACCATCCAGGTCAACATGGTGAAACCCCGTCTCTACTGAAAATACAAAAAATTAGCTGGGCAGGGTGGTGCATGCCTGTAATCCCAGCTACTCAGGAGGCTGAGGCAGGAGAATTGCCTGAACCCAGGAGGCGGAGGCTGCCGTGAGCCGAGATCGCGCCATTGCACTCCAGCCTGGATAACGAGAGCAAAACTCCATCTCAAAAATAAATAAATAAATAAATAAAAATAAGATAGTTGTTACAAGTAAATATTCAACAAATGTTAGCTATTATCATCTCATGGTACATTCATTTGTAAACAAAAAATGCCTGTGAACATAGATTTTGTCTTGTTTTCTGGAATGCTTATTAGCAATAGGTTGAATTTTGATTTATGTGAATATAATTTTTTTCTCCTAAAATGTGATATTTGTGATAAATGCAATGGTTTCCAAATAGTTGTGTTATTGACTGACAGATACAACTATCATACAGTAAATTTAATTGCTTGGTCTTATACACTTATTCATTACATAATGACAGGAATATATTGAACAAATGAGTCATTAGGCAATTTCATTCTTGTGGCAACATCACTGAGTATACTTATACAAGCCTAGATTGCATAGTGTACTACACACCTGTGTTACATGGTATTATGTAGGTCCTGGACTACAAACTTGTACAGCATGTTATTGTACTTAATATGGTAGGCAATTGTAACACAATGGTATTTGTATATCTAAACATAGAAAAGGAACAGTAAAAATGCAGTATAACCTGCCTTTCCAGTCCTTGGATAAGTGGTATAAGATATAAGACTTGGAGAAGACAGGCCAGGCATGGTGGCTCACACCTCTAATCCCAGCACTTTGGGAGGCCAAGGCGGGTGGATCGCTTGAGGTCAGGAGCTTGAGACCAGCCTGGCCAACATGATGAAACCCCTTCTCTATTAAAAATACAAAAATTAGCTGGGCATGTTGGCACACACCTATAATCCCAGCTACTCAGGAGGCTGAGGCAGGAGAATCTCTTGAACCCAGGAGGTGTAAGTTGCCATGAGCCAAGGTTGTGTCATTGCACTCCAGCCTGGGCGACAAAAGTGAAACTCATCTAAAAAAAACAGTCTTGGAGAAGATAAGATATGATGGGGCTGTCTGTAAAGGACACTTACCATGAATGAGCTTGCACAGGTAGAAGTTCTCTGGGTAAATCAGTGCGTGAGTGACCAGTGAATATGATGCCTAGGACATTACTGAGGGCGTAGAATTTTTAAACACTGTACACTTTGGCTATACTAAATTTATTAAAAATATTTTTCTTCTTTATTCAGTAATAAATTAATATTCACTCACTGTAACTTTTTTACTTTATAAACTTTTAAATGTTTAAAATCTTTTTGAGTGTTTTGTATTGCCACTGAGTCCAGCTCCACTAGTGTACAGAAATGTCCTAGGCATCACCTTCACTTATCTCTCACTTACTCACTTACCCAAGGAACTTCAACCCATGCAAGCTGCATTCAGTGAGTGTGTGAGTGTGTAACGACACTTAGCTTAAAGCACAGACACATCGTACAGCTGTACAAAAGCATTTTCTTTATATCCTTATTCTATAAGCTTTTTTCTAATTTTCTACTTTATGTTTTACTTTTTAAACTTTTTAAAAGCTAAGACACAAATACATACATTTGCCCAGGCCTACACATGATCAGGATAATCAGTATCACCACTGCCTTCTACCTCTATATCTTATCCCACTAGATGGTTTTCAGGGGCAATAACCACGGAGCTGTCATCTCCTTTGAGAACAATGCCTTCTTCTGGAATACCTCCTGAAGGAGCTGCCTGAGGCTGTTTAATAGTTAACTTTTTTATCTTAATGATAAGAAGTATGGTATAGTAAATACATAATCCAGTAACACAGTCATTTATTATCAAGTATTGTGTATTGTAAGTCATCGTGCTATACTTTTATACAACTTGCAGTACGGTAGGTTTGTTTAAACCGATCGCATGCCTCACCACAGGTAAAGCCTCTGCCTTTTCCTGGAGTTCTCTGGAGTACCAAAGGAAGTAAAAATGCCAGAGCAGTGGCAGCCTCCCAAAGGTGGCTGAAATCAGTGGACTGGCAGGGCTGCTGTGCTCTTGGCACCTGGCTTTATCCCAATGCTGCATGAGTGACAGAGCCTGCCCTGCAGCAGTGTACTCTGTCCCCCATTAGCAGTCATCCCATTAGCAGTGGAGGTGGTAAGAGTCCATATTTACAAAGAGGTGAGACTTACCTTCCTAAATAAGCAATAGCTATTTATTTACTTGAATACAAATGCAGGAAGGTGAAGGGGTGAGGGCAGAGGACTTTGGAACTTTTCAGACAAAAAAACCTGATGCTCCTACCACTAAAATGTGAAGGACTTACAAAGTCAGTAGGGAGTTCTCTGAAATTGGAGTTACAAATAAATGTTTCAGGACTGATTAGGATCTTCTGATTCATAAGCCTGTTGGAATCACTCTACTCTTCAGTTAAATGTGTAGGTACTCTGTTAATTGAGTAATGTAGACTATTAATGCCCACCCGTAACTAAAATACGATTTTCCAAATGTATTTGCTCAATATTACTTTACATGTTGTTTTAGTAATGTTTTTAAGTGATCAAGAAACAGCAAGTTACTTAATTGTGTGAAGAAACAGTTTAGCTTTCCAAATGTCTGCAGTGACAAAATTGGAGAATACAAAGGAAATTGGAAATCCTGTCCCTAGTGTGTTTAAGTCAGGCTGTTTGTGGAAAGACAGGGCTTCTGAAATACTGGCATTCCAAGGAGCAGCGATATTATTCAGAGATTCTGGGCACTGATGGTGCTTTTTTTCTTCAAAAGAAACTGTGGTCCTGATGCCCTTCAATTTGGTTCAAGAACCTGATGAGCCTGATAATTAGAAATATTAATTTAAATAGAAATGCCAGTTTGTTTGGTGTTTGCTGAAATGGTAACATAAGCCTGAATATAAATGCACTGTGTTGTAGCAAGAATTCAGCTTCATTCTCAACTTTGGTAGGGGGCTCCTCCCTGCCCAAAGATTGTCACTGGGAGAGCAGCCGCCTCATAGGAACCAATATGTGAGGAACAATCACACAAGGATGTGCTGCGTCTGCTCCTTCTCTGGGTTACCACTTCCTGTGGGCTCCGCCGCCTGAAATGAATAAACTGGGATTTGAGGAAGGTAAACGTCTGATCTCTGCTCACCAGTTGGTAACCCAGCTGCAATGTGCATTTCTTATATAAATGGGTAAAGTGAAATTTTCAAATGCTTAACTGTGCTAGTTCATCTTAAGCCCTGTAAATACCTTTTGGTTTTCATTGTAGTTGTCCTAGACCTACGTCGTTTGGTGGAAGCTAGAGTAAGTCCATTCAAAGCCATGAACAAACTATATTTGGCGAGGCTGTGAAAAACTGATAAACTAGCTTCACCAAACATGACTCGTAATTACTTGTTGTATAAGTAACTATATATACTCTTAATCCCGTGAAGGTAGGGACCATGGCTATCATGTTCCTGGGAGAATCCTCAGAACTTAGCAGTATTATTTATTCATTTGACTGTTAATGGAGTTTTTAAAATAGCACCTTCCAACATATCCTTCCATGAGACTTTTCTTACAGAGATAACTAATAATTAATATGTAAATGATTGTTTTATAGGATTGTAACTATTACAATATGGCTTTCCTTGGACTCTTCTCTCTGCTGTTGCTGCAAAGTATGGCTGTAGGGGCCACTCTCCCTGATGAAGCCATTGCTGACTTGTCAGTGAATATGTATAATCGTCTTAGAGCCACTGGTGAAGATGAAAACATTCTCTTCTCTCCATTGAGTATTGCTCTTGCAATGGGAATGATGGAACTTGGGGCCCAAGGGTCTACCCAGAAAGAAATCCGCCACTCAATGGGCTATGACAGCCTGAAAAATGGTAAGTGTGATCAGGTTTGATTTCTCAAGACTTTTGAATGTGACTTTGACTAGTTATGTTGTCTTCTTATTCCAGACGCAGCAATATTTACATAGGGTAAATGATAGTCTCATGGAAATTGTATGGCTAGAAGGATTAGGAAGCCCAAGAAATGTGTTAATTCCTGGCTGCATTTCTGGCTGAGTGAATCTAAAGAAATTACGTCTTCTAAAAATTATTATGATTTACCTCAATTCATTGTAATTTTAAAAAGCAAACATTATTCTGGAGTTTTCAGTCTAGAGGGAAAGGAACATATCACACAAATAAATGAAAAATTACAAATGTGATGAGTGCTACACAGAAAGGCAGCGTGGTTCACTAAGAATATCAGAAAGTTTTGCTTAAAATCAACTGTATCTTCCTTGTTTAAATAGCATCCAAGAATTTTTTTGAGGTGCTATCTTATTATAGCAATTCTGTGTATTGGGGGACATTTCTAGCCAAATGGTATTTTGTAATCACTTTGACATAATGTTTGATTTCTATTTAAATGCTTTAATATACATGTGAATTTGCTCATTCAAAAATTAAAATAATTTCTAATGGCTTTTCTAGTTTTAAAATTAAAAGGTATACTGAGTAAAAAGGATGATCTTGATTTTTTAACTAGATCCTTTTTTCTAATAAGGTAAAAGAAGTCTAATCAAAATAACCTAGTAATTTGAAATAAAGCAATTGAAACAATCTCTATAGATTGTACCAAAATAACAACAAAATAAAAAAATAATATCAGTCCATGATATTAACTTGCAAAAAGATAATTTGAACATCTAGAAATAGTATAAGTATTGGACCATATGTGGGGGGAAAGCCTGGCACTTTTCCCCTGGGTGCCTGTTCCGTTAACCTCCCTTGCTGTATTTTAATGTTCCTCCACTTTCCTTGACCTTTTACCAGTTTGTTCTGCAAATATACTTGTCCTTTCTCATCTTGCAGGTGAAGAATTTTCTCTCTTAAAGGAGTTTTCTAACATGGCAACAGCTAAAGAGAGCCAGTATGTGATGAAAATTGCCAATTCCCTCTTTGTGCAAAATGGATTTCATGTCAATGAGGAGTTTTTGCAAATGATGAAAAAATATTTTAATGCAGAAGTAAATCATGTGGACTTCAGTCAAAATGTAGCTGTGGCCAACCACATCAATAAGTGGGTGGAGAATAATACAAATAGTACGTCACCTGGTTCCTTTCTTCCTCTAATAGCTTAGTTTTAACTGTCTTTAACTTCCGAAAGTATTTGCCCCCTTGCTTCTTTTGCATTTTGAATGTTAGAGACCATTTGGTTGGGTATCTAATAATTATTTTGTATAGATTATGGGGGTCTATTTGAGAAACATTGTTATGAATGAACATTTGAGAACTAAGTTAAATCTTTTGGCATGTATAGAATTTGGGAGTGATAATCTGCAGTCTGAACTCTCTGACTGATAGGTTTCCCCTGTAATCCTAACCACTTTATGGAGTTTTGCTTGTCCTATTTAATAAATTAGTTACTGGATAGAATGCCAGTTGGCTCTTAACATTGTGATTAAAATAGAGTAAGAAAGAGTTAAAAATCAGAGTTTATCGATGTTTGCTGGCTTTTGAATCAAAGACCTTCATTGGTAATTAAAAAAAAAGTATATGATTAATTTTCAAAAGAGCAGCTTATTTCAAGCCCCCCAAAATGGAGAGGAATTAGAATGAGATGCATTCATTCTAAATTTCATTGCTATTTCATTTTTCTAAAATGTATTTAGGGTTCCCAAATGTTTCATATTTTAGCATTTTATTTTCCAATTTTACCAGCAAAATATTGAAATCATAGTATAAAAACTGACACTAAATTAAAAGTACATTTTTAAAGCTGTTCATTAAATGAAGTTTATTTTCAAATCTATGCAAATAATGTTAATCTTAAACTTTACATTGGAACAACAACAAATGTATCCCTGAACAGATACTCAATATTCCGTAATCTCCAAGATGCAGACACCTTTTATCTTAAGAAGTGCTATGATTAATCAAATGAGAGAATACAGAGCAAATTTTCATCTTATGTTTTTATCTGTGAGATTAACATGTATGATAAAAGAAACTTAAATTTAGGCTTTTAATATTCAAAGAATAAATTAAGGGTGATGATCCATATGAAGTAGATTCAATTATTAAAACGTGTTTGTTTTCAAACTCCTTTTGACACTTGTAGCAAACAGCAAAGATCCAATATCTTTTCAAATAGATTTGGAAAGGAGTATTTCAGATGATAGACACCAATGAATGATGTAAACTGGCTTTCATGTATCTGTTTTCACCTACCCAAGAGCAGATGATATATTGGCAGAATGATGTCCAGTATACACAGGGAAGAATTTGAAATCGATAACATTTAATCGTGTACCTTGTTCAAGAATAAACTTAGGGCTGGGCGTGGTAGCTCAATGCCTGTAATCCCAGCACTCTGGGAGGCTAAGGTGGGCGGGATCACTTGAGGCTGGGAGTTCCTGACCAGCCTGCCTGACATGGTGAGACATGGTCTCTTCTGAAAATACAAAAATTAGCAGACCTATAATCACAGCTATTCAGGAGGCTGAGGCATGAAAATCACTTGAACCCAGGAGGCAGAGTTTGCAGTGAGCAGAGAACGTACCACTGCACTACAGCCTGGATGGCGAGACTGTTTCTCAAAAAAAAAAAAGAATAAATTTAGAAGCATTTATTGAGTGCTTATTCTGTGTTAAGAGTTTTACATGCATCATTGCAACTAGAAAGAGATTAAGTCTAAGTTACATTGCATGTGGTTCTGTAGTTTGTGTATCAAGATGCTACTAGTATTATTTCAGGTAATATGGGTTTTTTGAATGCCCTTAATTGCTAAATGTGTGTGTGTGTGTGTGTGTGTGTGTGTGTGTGTGTGTAAAACTCTTTTCCCTTTGAAAGTAAGAGACTTTTTATTTTCATTATAAACTTGGTGTACAGTTTCTCTGGACCACTCTGTCAGATGGTGGTTTGAAAATCTTGTGGTTACCTTTCATCTTCCAGTTTAACATGAATTTTTAATCTGTTCATTTTTTCTAAAATAGATCTGTTGAAAGATTTGGTATCCCCAAGGGATTTTGATGCTGCCACTCATCTGGCCCTCATCAATGCTGTCTATTTCAAGGGGAACTGGAAGTCACAGTTTAGGCCTGAAAATACTAGAACGTTTTCTTTCACTAAAGATGATGAAAGTGAAGTCCAAATTCCGATGATGTATCAACAAGGAGAATTTTACTATGGTAAGCCATTTTTTCTTTTTTCTCTTCTTGTAGTATATCAACACATTTCTGAGAAAAACATGAAGTATTTATTCATTACTCAAACTCCTTGTCAATATAATTTGGGCTACAATTCAGTTTCCTTGGCTCCATTTTAAAAACTCTCTAACTTCTGAGTTAATATTATATTCATTGATGGGTTCCAATGTATTTTCAAATGTATAAGTTGATCACACCCATAGAGTTGCTTTATTCATCTTAAAATACCTGACATAGTGTGAGGATGTTCTCATTTACTCCAAAAAGTCATTTGCTTTAGGATGGGTCTTCGTGAACCACATGCTCCACCAAGCACTTGATTTGGGCTCTGTACTACTTTTTAAATTACAAACATTCTTCTCATACAAGAATTTTAAAAAATAATTTTAGACTTGTGTATGTATGGCCAAACATAATTGTTTGTTTATATTTTAATTTATTGAGAGCCTATAATTTTTAATATAATTCAGTCTCCTTGGCATAATTTTCTAAGATGTTTTATTGGACTCTTCAGAACTTTAGGGTACTAGTCCTTCTTATCCACTACATTGACTTGTAATAATTTGTTAGTCATAATCAGAAAGGTAATTTTTAGCCAAGCATATGTTATAACTAGTAGTTTTATTCTGTTTAAAAGCATATTACAGGACAGGTGCGATGGCTCATACCTGTAATCCCAGTACTTTGGAGATGGAGGCAAGAGGATTGCTTGAAGGCAGGATTGAGTCTAGCGTGGGCAACACAACAAGACCCTGTCACTACAAAAAATACATAGGCTTTTAATTAGCTAGGCATGATGGTACTATGGTCCTAGCTACTTGGGAGGATGAGGGAGGAAGATCGCTTGAGCCCAGGAGTTCGAGGCTGCAATGAGCTATGATCCTGCTACTGCACTCCAGCCTAGGTGGCCGAGCAAGACCCTGTCTCTACAACTATATATATATAGGTTTTATGTGTAGATAAAACTATATATACCATATATATAAATAGTTCATTTTGGCACTATATATACATGTGTGTTAATTTGGCTAATTTGGCTACATTCATAGAGAACAAAGCCAATTACCTCATTTACCTAATTACTGAATTTCGATATATCAATTTTCACAAATATAATAGCTAAATATTATAGAATCTTTGATTTCATTTTGACTCTGAAAACTTTGCTTTAAAACATGCAGTTTTTATTATAATAAAGTGCCAGGTATCAGAGGGTCAAATTTTCTCTTCTTAGAAATCAGGTGAATATTGATCAATGTGCTTTACATCCAACTTAGAGCCAGGGCTTTATTTTTGTAACCAGGACTTTTCGTTGTTTCTAATGCTACACTTTAGCTGTAGTGAATAATCTCATTTAAAAACAAAAAGCAGGTCTCGAATGCATGTTATTACAGATGTGAAATAATTCTGAGGATTCTAAAATAAAATAAATTATACAGGGCTATGAATTCATTTGAATTTTAGGACCTGTGTTCAAATAAACCTGCTTTTTAGCAGATGCCTTAATTTCTTTGTATTCTATACACTATTTGGTAGGAAACATATATAACAGATTTAAATCTTTTTATTTTTATTTTTTCCTTTTTTTATATTTTATTTCAATAGTTTTGGGTGAACATGTGGTTTTCAGTTACATGGAAAAATTCTTTAGTGGTGATTTCTGAGATTTTGGTGCACCTGTACCTGAGCAGTGTACACGGTACCAAATAATGTGGTCTTTCATCCCTCACTCCCCAGCTTTTTTTTTAAAGCTTTGATATGAGTCTTTTATGGCCTTTCTTTCCTTTTTAGGGGAATTTAGTGATGGCTCCAATGAAGCTGGTGGTATCTACCAAGTCCTAGAAATACCATATGAAGGAGATGAAATAGGCATGATGCTGGTGCTGTCCCGACAGGAAGTTCCTCTTGCTACTCTGGAGCCATTAGTCAAAGCACAGCTGATTGAAGAATGGGCAAACTCTGTGAAGAAGCAAAAGGTAGAAGTGTACTTGCCCAGGTGAGAGGCTCCTGTGTCACCCCTCCCACAGCATGGACAATGGGCTATCAATGAAAATCTGACCTAGAAAAACTCTTGGAACTGCTTTCAAATTGTAATTCTTGTACTACTCTCCTCTTGTTCCTGTTCTTCTTCCCTTCCTTCTCCTTCTCTTTCTCCTTCTTCTTTGATTTTCTCTTTTTAGTATTCTTTCAGATTCATTTCTTTCATACTCATGTAGTCCTTCCTATAGACACATGCTCACTTATTGGTTCATTCAGTGCTATTCATCAAGACCTAGTCTCAGAAATAATTCAATGTTCTCGTCTTTGTCTTAGAAAATTTATCTATCTTTTTACTCTGAATATCATTTGCATTGACAGTCTTCTGTATTTCATTAATACTTAATCATTAAGGATGATTTAATCCTTAAGGATGATTATAACTGAAGAGGAAACCATCTCTGACATTGCTAGAAGACCTGCAAACAAGTCACTGTGTTAGGTACTGAGATGCAACCATAAATTAGCAGGAAGATGCAACTCTGCTCAAAATTCTCCCTGTGGCTGAAAGAATAAGATGTACACAATGCCTTTAATGTCCTGAATGCCATTCCCTTCTCAACCCCATCTCTGGTCACTTGCCACATCAAGCGTGTTGTAGTGGGTTCTATCCATGTACTTGTGGTTATGCCACATACATCATGCTATTTTCATGTCTCTGAGTCTCCATTTATGTTTTTGCATTTGCCTAAAATGCCCTCCTCATATTTCTTTCCCAAGGTAGTGTTACTTAGCCTTCAAGGTATACCTCTAGAACCAGTTCTTCTCGGAAGCCTCCCATTAACTAACAAGGAGCAAGTGACCCTGACTTTTGCTTCACTTATACACCTTTCTGTTATTACTTGTTACCATGTCATAATAACATTATGTTTTTGTACAGCTAGTTTTCTTCAGTTTTTCTAGGGTAGAACCAGTTATCTTTCTTATAAAAAGAACATATTAAGTGTTTGCAAAATGAAACTGAACTGAAAATGTGTATTCTATCCCTGAATACCTTAAAACTTAGTAGGAAAGCTAGGCCAGTAAACTGGTAGAACATGTTTATTAACATACTATATAAATTTTACTCTAGAAAACAAGACATATCAATAAAACCAGATTAAATATATATGTATATAGGTATGTAGAAGTACAGTTAAAACTCATTCCATATTAAGAAAATTGTTCAAATATGATTAATTAAACTGGGAGCATTAAAGTGGTAAATATTAATATTAAAGATGAATTACTAATAACTGATTAACCCATTCGTATTTATTCTAATTTTAGGAATTATCATTTAAGGGTTATATTTTATGTAAATATCAATGTTTCTAAACACTTAGCTGATAGTTTGCTTATGTTGGTGAAGGAGATCTATTTGGAACTGCAGAATTTTTGCCTGTAAAATTGTGTTTTATAATATATTCATAATATGTAATATTGTCATAATTTATTATGTCATATATATTCATAATATATAACCATAAATAATATGTTGCCATATATTTTCTTTTTTAAAATTTTTATTTTAAGTTCTAGGTTAAATGTGCAGGATGTACAGGTTTGTTACATAGGTAAACATGTGCCATGGTGGTTTGCTGCACCTGTCAACTCATTACCTAAGTATTAAGCCTTGCATCCACTAGCTATTTATCCCATTGTGCTCCCTCCCCTCAACCCCCGGCAGGCCCCAGTGTGTGTTGTTCCCTTCCCTGTGTCCTTTCATTCTCACTGTTCAGCTCCCACTTATAATGAGAACATGCAGTGTTTGGTTTTCTGTTCCTGTGTTAGTTTGCTGAGGATAATAGCTCCCAGCTCCATCTATGTCCTTGCAAATGACCTGATCTCGTTTCTTTTTATGGCTGCATAGTATTCCATGGTATATATGTACAATATTTTCTTTATCTGGTGTGTAATTTATGGGCATTTGGACTGATTCCATGTCTTTGATATTGTGAATACTGCTCCACTGGACATATGCGTGCTTGTGTCTTTATAATAGAATGATTCCTTTGGTTGTATACCCAGTAATGGGATTGCTGGGTCAAATGGTGTTTCTGGTTTTAGGTCTTTGAGAAATCTCCACCCTCTCTTCCACAATGGTTGAACTAATTTACATACCATCAACAGTGTAAAAGGGTTTCTATTTCTTCACAGCCTTGCCAACATCTGCTGTTTCTTGACTTTTTAATAATCGCCATTCTGACTGGCGTGAGATGGTATCTCACTGTGGTTTTGATTTGCATTTCTCAGATGATCAGTGATGTTGAGCTTCTTTTTATGTTTGTTGGCCACATAAATGTCTTATTTTGAGAAGTGTCTGTTCATGTCTTTTTGCCTACTTTTTAATGGGATTTTTTTTCTTGTAAATCTGTTTAATTTCCTTGTAGATTCTGGATATTAGACCTTTATCAAACGGATTTATTAGATTGTAAAATTTTTCTCCCATTCTGTAGGTTGCCTGTTCACTCTGATGATAGTTTCTTTTGCTGTGCAGAAGCTCTGTAATTTAATAAAATCCCATTTGTTAAGTTTTGCTTTTGTTGCAATTGCTTTTAATGTTTTTGTCATGAAATCGTGTCATGAAATCGTTTTTGTCCATGTCCTCAATAGTGCTTCCTAGATTTTTTTCTAGGGTTTTATAGTTTTTAGTTTTACTTTAAAATCTTTAATCCATCTTGAGTTTTTTTTTTTTTTTTTTTTTAAGACGGAGTTTCGCTCTTGTTACCCAGGCTGGAGTGCAATGGCACGATCTCGGCTCACGGCAACCTCCGCCTCCTGGGTTCAGGCAATTCTCCTGCCTCAGCCTCCTGAGTAGCTGGGATTACAGGCACGTGCCACCATGCCTGGCTAATTTTTTGTATTTTTAGTAGAGAGGTTTCACCATGTTGACCAGGATGGTCTCGATCTCTTGACCTCGTGATACACCTGCCTCGGCCTCCCAAAGTGCTGGGATTACAGGCGTGAGCCACTGCACCCAGCCTGAATTTTTTTAATAAGGTGTAAGTTTCAGTTTTCTGCATATGGCTATATTTAGTCACATATTTTCTTGTCTGCATATAAAAGTCAGGGCAATCACAACCCAAATAGTTGATTTTTTTTTTCTTTTTGGCTAAGATATTTAATATGCATAATTTCCATGACAATACATATATGTAGAAATGTTCCATAAGTCTATTCTTAAGGAAAAGTGGTCAATAAATACCTACCAAATAAAGCCAAGAGCTTTTTTTATATATAAGTGACATTTATATACTCAATATGTAAACACTGTATCTTAATTCCAAAGAACAATTGAATTTTGAACATTAATAATTAAATTTAAATTCCTATGTAAATCTGGTCTAAACTTGGAAAACATTCAGTGCATGTTAACCCTCATCTAGTGACCTTTCACAATCAATTTAGTATTTTCATTTTATGAGGAGTTCCTTTGGATAAAATGAAAATTTCAGTACAGTGTTAATGCTTCTCTTGTTAAATCCATGAATTAAGTGCAATGGTTCCAAATGCTTCAATTCTGTGAGGATGCAAAGTTACTTAGGCGTATTTTAACGGAATTCTAAATGAATGCTTACTAAATATTATACATACTAATTGAACCATATTTCACTAGAAAATGTCACCTCCAGGTCCTTTCCACTGAGAAATTGAATGTGGCAGTAGAATTAAATTTTCATTTTCTAAGAGATACTCTTCAATTATGAAATAGTTTGGCTCTCTTGCTCATATTAATCTCTGTACTAATCTAGGTACAGGAAATTATCATGTATCAATTTTTCCAGGAGTTGTATTAATTCTCCCTGTACATGGCAAATGCATAGATAGGGAAGCTAAATAGCAAAATAAGATAACTCTGGATTCCCCTTTTAACAGACTGGGCTGTTTTCAAATACTTATATATTATATTAATCAATGTGAAACTCTCCACCTTCTCCATTTTACAGCATTAGGATCCACTAAATGTTTGATGATGGTAGTGATTTATGTGATCCATTTTTAGCAAAGGTAAACATGTTTTTAGTAGCTATATTCTATGTTTACTAAAGTGTCCGTTTTAATAGTTTACATAGTTTTATCACAGAGAGATATTATTCTGAAAATGCAGCTTGTATTTCTATAATTTGACCACATTCTTGTTCTGCTCGACAGGTACTTTTACTTTCTATTTTGCTAGAATTTATACAAACAGCTTTAAAATGCTGTCCTCGAAAAACCAAATACTGTGTTTTCTAACTCGTAAGTGTGAGCTAAACATGGAGTACTCATGGACATGCAGATGGCAACGATAGACGCTGGAGATGACTAGTGGAGGGAGGAAGGAAAGGGGGCAAGGGTCAAAAAACTACTGGGTGCTGTTCTCACCATCTGAGTGACAGGATCATTTGTATCCCAAACTTCAACAATAAGCAATGTACCCATATAACAAACCTACACATGTACACCTTGAATCTATAATAAAAGTTGAAACAATTAAAAATAATAATAATAAAATTAAATAAATGGCTGTCTTTAAGAGGTAAAGGGAGGTTATTTGCAGGGGAGGGTCATGTAGAAGAAGCAATTGCTTTTGCATTTTAGCAATTTTCCCCCCCTCACAGTAAGTTCTACAGAAATTAGATGCTGAATTGAAACTGTATTTTTATCCAAAATGTAAGAATCATTTCAAGAAAAGGTAAGATTACTATACCCATTACCAAATCCAATGAAATATCACAAGATTTATACATAGTTGTACATCTCTAAGATTTAACTAAGATGGCCAGATCCTTCCATTTATCCATGGTAGCAAAAATAGTTTGTTTCATGTATAAAATATTTATGTAAAATATCCAAAAAGCACTTAAATATAAAATCTGGTACAGAGTAAGCATTATGTAATTATTACCTATTATTAATATTATTGCTATTTGTTTAGTGTAAATTTTAAGTCCTGGTATTTACATTGTGTTACTCTTATAGGTAGCTTTATTTATACCTCTCTCTAAATTGAATTTTTTAAACCTGATTCTCTTGAATTTTATCCTCTTCAGCGTGTATGCTTCCTTTTAAGTCTTTACTGATATAGCTTAGATATAAAAAGATTTTTCTAAAGTTAACATCAAATTTTAATACTTGTAAGCAGATGTACCTCGCTCTATGTAGTATCTGTCTACTCTGGCTTTTGTAGTTTCAGATTTGTCATTGTGATCTGAGTGTTGGAAATCAAAGGATGTGAAGTGGTTCTCTATTTTGTAACAGAAACTATCCTGATATTTTGAAATAATTGCCTATTAATAAAGCATTTTAGTTTCATGTTTCTAAAAGAAAACCAATACATAAGTCTGTGATTTTTTTTTTAGATGAATCTCACTCTGTCGCCCAGGCTGGAGTGCAATGGCATGATCTTGGCTCACTGCAACCTCCACCTCACAGGTTCAAAAGCCATTCTCCTGCCTCAGCCTCCCAAGTAGCTGGGATTACAGGCATGTGCCCCCACGCCCAGCTTTTTGTATTTTTAGTAGTGATGCGGTTTCGCCATATTGGCCAGGCTGGTCTCGAACTCCTGACCTCAGGTGATCCACCTGCCTCAGCCTCCCAAAGTGCTGGGATTATAGGTATCAACCACTGCACCCAACCCTGATTTTGTTTTTTAACATGAGTGCTTTTCACTAGATTTTTCTACAAAGGGAATGATGGGCTTTTTAATTGTTTATACATGTTATAATTTCCTACCTAGGATATATTTGTTATTTTCTAACACTTGCTCTGCAGGTCTTCAAATCTCTGCCCTCCATATGCCTCTTCAATTTATTCAGGTAGAAAGTTCCAAATGCAGAAATTACATTGTATGCCTTTATTAAAACAGGCATCTCCTTTGGCTTTATAAGAGCAGTGTCATGGCTTTTAATTTTTGTATTTCATGAAATGTAAAATCTACCTTTAATGTTGTTTTATTTTCAAAAGTCATTATTGGAATTATAGGGATTAGTGATGGGAGGATTTGCTGTCAGAAAGACCTCTGTTCATATCCTTATTCTACCACCTATTATCTGTGTGATTAGAGAAAGTTCCTTGTTGCTTAGCTCTTTTAAGCTTCAGTTTATCCTTCTGCAACCAGAGATAATGACACTTATCTCACAGGGTTGTTTGAGAGCCTCATAGAAATGATTAAGTAAGATATTATCCATAAAAGTATTTGCATAGAGCCTGAAACATAGTAAGCACTCAATATATGGGAGATGATAATGATTGTTTATATTAATATTAGTCTATATAAAGAGGAAAGAAAGAAATCATTGCTATTTTTCAGAAGTTTGATTTTAAAAAGTCAAGAAATGGACAAGTGGAGATTATTTACTACCTATCTTCAACTTTGAAAAGTCTTACAAACATCTAGATCTTATTTCACTTCAACTTTTGTGGTTTGTTCTTACGCTAGATATTGCAAATATTAGAATAAATAAGACAATAGATTTGACTAATTTACACTTAAGGTGGCAGGGATTAATATAGCTACTTAATCAAATTGCACCAATTACTACTAGAATGCAAACTTACAACACCTTAACATCTATAGTAATGTGACATGTTATACATAACTGCAATATAATAAATGGCATTCATGGTATGTACTCCTCATTGCATGCCCATCCTAAGATCTAACACGATGCTAGCACCATCCTAAGAGCTAACGTTGTTTAATCATTCCATCAATACTATAAAACACATATTATTATTGCCATTTTACCTGTGCCAAAACTGAGCCTCAGAAATTAAGAAACTTGCCGAAGTTTACTTGGATCAGTCACTCATAATGACCTGACTAGCTAGCGTTTCATCACTAATGTCTGTAAGCTGCTCAGGAGGCTGAGGCTGGAAGATCGCTTGAGACCAGAATTTTGAGATCAGCCTCAGCAACAAAGCGAGACCCACACCTACAGAAACAAATTAAAAATAAAAAGTAATAACCGGGTGCTGTGGTGTGCACCTGTAGTTCCAGCTACATGGGAGGCTGAGGTGGAAGAATTGTTTGAGCCTGGGGGTTTGAGGCTTCAGTGAGGCATGATCATGGCACTGCACTACAGCATGGGGGACAGAGTGAAACCCCATCTCACACACACACAGATGTATTACTTGATGCAGACATGTTTGATCAATATCTTGCACAAGAAAGTTTGGTGATACAATTCATTTGTTTTGGGGAAAGTCCATATTAGGACCAATCTGGCTTGCTGTGGAAACTGTTTTTTAATTTAATATTGTTTATGATCCCTATACTTATTTTCCTTTTGTTTTAAGATAATGTTTCATTTCTTTTTTCAAAAGTTACACACACTTATGTATAATAATTCATAAGGTCAATTAAAACAATAAAAAAAACATGATTTTTTGGTTTAAAAAAAAACCTCTGAAGTGTACTAATTGACACTCCCACCAACAGTGTAAAAGCGTTCCTATTTCTCCACAGCCTGCCAGCACCTGTTGTTTCCTGACTTTAATAATCTCCATTCCGACTGGCTTGAGATGGCATCTCCTTGTGGTTTTGATTTGCATTTCTGTAATGACCAGTGATGATAAGCTTTTCTTCATAGGTTTGTTGGTTGTACAAATGTCTTCTTTTGAGAAATGTCTGTTCATATCCTTTGCCCACTTTTTGATGGGGTTTTTGTGTTTTTCTTGTAAATTTGTTTAAGTTCCTTGTAGCTTCTGGGTATTCGCTCTTTGTCAGATGGATAAGTTGCAAAATATTTCTCCCAAATTCTGTAGGTTGCCTGTTCACTCTGATGATAGTTTCTTTTGCTGTGCAGAAGCTCTTTAGTTTAATTAGGTCCCATTTGTCAATTGGCTTTTGTTGCCATTGCTTTTGATGTTTTAGTCACGAAGTCTTTGCCTGTGCCTATGTCCTGAATGGTATTGCCTAGGTTTTATTCTAAGGTTTTTATGGTTTTGGGTTTTACATTTAAATTTTTAATACATCCTGAGTTAATTTTTGTTTAAGGTGTAAGAAAGAGGTCTAGTTTCGGTTTTCTGCATATGGCTAGCCAGTTTTCCCAGCATCATTCATTAAATAGAGAATCCTTTCTTTTTTGTCAGATTGTCGAAGATCAGATGGTTGTAGATGTGTGGTGTTATGTCTGAGGTCTCTGTTCTGTTCCATTATATCTGTTTTAGAGTTCCATGCTGCTTTCTAGAACCTGAAATACCATTTGACCCAGCAATTCCATTACTAGGTATATACCCAAAGGATTATAAACCATTCTATTATAAAGACACATGCACACGTATGTTTATTGCAGCACTATTCACAATAGCAAAGACTTGGAACCAACTCAAATGCCCATCAATGACAGACTGGATAAAGGAAATGTGGCATATATATACAATGGGATACCATGAAGCCCTAAAAAAGAATGAATTCATGTCCTTTGTAGGGACATGGATGAAGCTGAAAATCATCATCCTCAGCAAACTAACACAGGAACAGAAAGACAAACACCTCATGTTCTCATTCATAAGTGGGAGTTGAACAATGAGAACCCCTGGACACAGGGAGGGGAACATCACACATCGGGGCCTGTCTGGGGGTAGGTGGGGACAGGGGAGGGAGAGCATTAGGACAAATACCTAAAGCATGCAGGGCTTAAAACCTAGATGATGGATTGATAGGTGCAGCAAATCACCATGGCCCATGTATACCTATGTAACAAGCCTGCATGTTCTGCACATGTATCCCAGAACTGAAAATTTAAAAAAATCTTCAGTGTAAAAGCACATAGTTTTTAAGATATAATATTTAACTCACTATCCATTGAGTAATAGTTTTTTTTGTAATGATACTGTGAGAAGAGGCTTATGTCTTAGAGATCACTATAAGCATGAAAATACATTTTTTAATGTAGTGGGTTTTATGTTCACTTTCTCTGACTTGTAGGGAACTGAAATGCTAAATGCATTCATTGTAAAACAGAATTTGGCTCTAATTTAACCTTGTCCATGGTATTGATGAGGGTGGGAGTCATAGATTGGTGGAGGGTAAGGAAATTAAATTGACCAGGATACTAAGAAGAGAATGAAATAGCCAAGGTAAATGTGTGATTAGTCATCTCCAGCTTAAACACAATAATAAATATATAACTACTAGGTCAAAGGATTTTGAAAGCTACACAATTACAAGTTTTACTCAGTACTATGATACTAAGTAATCATATGGTAATGATACTTGATCTCAAAAATCATTTATTGTACTATATATAACAATTTTGTGTCTGTATCACTTATTTTCCTACTTATAAGTTTAAATTCCATTTTGTTACATCATTCTCTTTGATGCCACCTATTTTTCATGTTCAATCAGATACTAGCTGCAGTTCAAAAGCCAGTTTTAGCATAATTTACTCTCCATAAAGCAGACTTTAAACATCCACATATATAACACTTTGTTCTTGTTCCAGGTAACAATACGCTGTAACTAAATATTTTTCTCCCTGTGTATTTTCCAGGTTCACAGTAGAACAGGAAATTGATTTAAAAGATGTTTTGAAGGCTCTTGGAATAACTGAAATTTTTATCAAAGATGCAAATTTGACAGGCCTGTCTGGTAAGAAATAAACACAAATTTTCAAAACTGTTATTCCATCAGAGGTTTTTTTAAATAATGATGTTAAATCCTCTATTTAGTATGGAGTTCTGAGGTGAAATGAAGTTACCACTTGCCAAATAAATCTAGCATGAAATATTTAACCTCTACAGGTAAAACTATAAATATAGTCATAATATTAAGTTTATATTATCTGGTTCATGTCTTATCTTTGATAACAGATTATATTCTCTGGGAGACCTGTCTTATACAACTTTGGATTCCCCATCCCATCTGACATAATGCCTTGTAGATAATCAATAAATGTTTTGATTGACTATCTCAATACGTCCCATTGTAGTAAATCATGTAAGAAAGAAAGAAGACAAGAAAAATACGTGCCTGCTGTGGAGCTAGACCAAAGGTCCTTTTAAAAAATAAAGAATACCCAGTGAGATGATATAAACATGTTCTAATCCTTTGATTAAAAAAAAAAAAAAACAGTAGGCTGGCATGGTAGCTCATGCCTGTAATCCCAATCCCAGCACTTTAAGAGGCTTAGGTGAGTGGATCACCTGAGGTCAGGATTTTAAGGCCAGCCTGGTCAACATGGTGAAACTCTGTCTCTACTAAAAATACAAAAAATTAGCAGTACATGGTAGCGGTGCCTGTTACCCTAGCAACTCAGGATGCTGAGGCAGAAGAATCACTTGAACCCAGGAGGCAGAAGTTGCAATGATCTGAGATTGCGCCATTGCACTCCAACCTGGGTAATAACAGTGAAACTGTCTCAAAAATAAAAATAAAAAATAAATAAACAGTTGTTTTAAAGAAGTAACTTCAAAGTATACCTGGCACATTGGAGTCTCTAGTAATTTATTTTAAATATTGCAAGAAAAAAATCCAATTGATTTATTTGATTCAAATACCCTAATTTTTTCAGAGTAAAAAAAATCACAAAATATTAATGTTAAAGCATTTATAATTTGTAAAATACTTTTAGAAGTATTTTTAAGTAGTTAACCCCATGAAATTTGCCATCAGAAAAAGGCAACAATGAGCTTAAGGCTGAGTGAATAAGTTACATAATGATGATTTTTATCATTTCCTTAGAAACGAGAAAATAAAATACAATCTGTTTTCTGATAAGATAGATATATATTAAGATAAAAGAAACTCAACATGTAAGGCCTCTTTATATGCAAATTATTTAATCCAGATTTCCAAATAGCACTGAGAATGATGGAAGATTCCTTAGCAGTTCATCTGTTAAAGGAGAGAATTTCATTTTCTTATCCTGAAGCAGCAGCCTATAGAAAATCAAGCTGACCCAACCTTAGCTTCTACACATGGAGTGTGAGGGTCCATAGATTGAATTCTATGGAAGAATTCAGTCTTCCATAGAAGCTGATGCCCTGCCACCCTTGAAATTGCATATAATATGTACACACAATGTATGTGCACATATACATGTAGGTGTGGGAGAGAGAAAGTTAGTATGTGGGGGGGGCACACTTATAGCTTTCAAGAAATTCTCAAGGAGTCTGTGATCAAAAAAGCCTTTTCCTCCCAGATTTAGGATTGAGCATGTTGTTTTCTAAACAGCACTCAGCTTTAGCAATGAGTTGATACTAACGTATTTGGTACAACTTCCAGCCCTTGTTCAGAGAGCTTACAGCCCTAAACACTAATAGAGCTTTTCTAAATGTCTACTATATAAATGTTCCTGTCCACATAAGAGAAATGAGCTTTCCCTGAGTAAATGTTTTCATGGCTTATATCCAAGCTCCTAGGGCTCTGCACTCTTCAATGGGGTTATCAAGAATGTAGGACTGGTAGAGACTCAAAAAATAATGTAGTATCTGCACCTGAGTCAGAAATATATTCACGGGTGAAGCTTTGCATAGTTTAACATTGTGATTCTCTCTTCTTTAGGAACTGAGAGAATCTGTCTTACCACACTGGCCAAATTCCAACTGGATATTTACATTCTGCTTTCTTAACGTGGCTCTATTTTCAGTTTGATTAGTGATTCCTCACTGTCTCACCCAAACATCTAAGCAGTTATTTCAAACAGATAGAATATCTGCTGCCTCTCAGTCCTGAGGGAGTAGCAGTGCAGTGGCAAATCAATCATTGTGGTCAGTGTAGCTTATAATTTCTAACATATTTGGAAGGTTTATAAGGTAATATTTAATTGCCTTTACTATACACAGAGACAATAGACCATAAATATGCCTTATGAATACAGATGGTTCGGAGATTTGAAATAACACTAGAATCTTCCAGAGAATTAATACACTCTATATGCTAAGTATCTGTTTGTTCAATCAAAACCTCCATAAGAATTGAATCCTTCTCTCTGTCCTACTCACAGTTGCATTCCTGGTACCTTGTAAAGAACTAACATATAGTTGGTACACAGCAATTGTTCACTGAAGGGTAAAAAGGATGAGGGGAAGAAGACAAGAGGTTTCTTTGGACCCACATTACATATGGTCTAAGGACCACTTGCCCCCTTAAACATATATAAGACTTCCAGGATTCGCCGCTCTCAAATACCGCCCCATTTAGGTTTTCAGGATCACTTGAAAGATCTAGAGCAAACTTCCCAGTCTTTCAGTGGGAATTCTTTGATTATTACATTATTAGTTTTGCTGGAGTCTTGGCAACTCCTGCTTGCCATCCACCCTAACCAATATATCCTTACATTCCCCATGGCATGCACACACACATTAATTTATGAATCATTCATTCAAAAACTATTGTTATAATTATAAAACTTGTCTCCTTATTTCCTCTAAATTCAATAACATTTATCTCTTCATCATTTATTTGAGCACCATATGTATGCTCTGCTTTGTAAAGTTGGTATCTTTTTTTCATTTTTATTTTTTTAAATTTATTTATTTAACTTTAGGTGCATACTATATCTGGCATTTCTCCCTATGTTATCCCTCCCCATCCTCCCCTCCCTCCCCACCCACCACTGTCTCTCCCCTACCCCACAACTGCCCCCAGTGTGTGATGCTCCTCTCCCTGAGTCCACCTGTTCTCATTGTTCAACACCCACCTATGAGTGAGAACATGCAGTGTTTGGCTTTCTGTTCTTGTGTCAGTTTGCTGAGAATGGTGGTTTCCAGATTCATCCAAGTCCCTACAAAGGACATGAACTCATCATTTTGTATGGCTGCATAGTATTCCATGGTGTATATGTACCACATTTTCTTTGTCCAGTCTATCATTGACGGACATTTGGGTTGGTTCCAGGTTTTTGCTATTGTACACAGGGTTGCAGTGAACATATGAGTGCATGTGTCTTCATAGTAGAACGATTTATAGTTCTTTGGGTATATGCCCAGTAATGGGATTGCTGGGTCAAATGGAATTTCTATTTCTAGATCCTTGAGAAAACACCACACTGTCTTCCACAATGGTTGAACTAATTTACACTCCCACCAGCAGTGTAAAAGTGTTCCTGTTTCTCCACATCCTCTCCAGCATCTGTTATCTCCAGATTTTTTAATGATCACCATTCTAACTGGCATGAGATGATATTTTAATGTGGTTTTGATTTGCATTTCTCTAATGGCCAGTGATGATGAGCATTTTTTTCATATGTTTATTGGCCTCATATATGTTTTCTATCATATGTCTAGATTTTTTCCTCTCCAAATAACATGATAACCTTGATGATTAGTGTCTGTGACTCTTAGTATCCTGCATGTATACCCAGGAAAAACATTTGTATCCATTTGGTTTCTACTTTAATGAGAATCTCATGGTGTTTAGGATATATGAAGGCTTACCTCAATATAGTAGGGGTTTGGCTTCAAAGCATTGCACTACAGTGAATATTGCAATAAAATGAGTCACATGAATTTTTTGTTTCACAGTGCATATAAAAGTTATGTTTATATTATGCTGTAGCCTTTTAAAGGTACAAAGAGATTATGTCTAAAAAAGTAAGGAATGTGTCTTAATGTAAAAATACTTTATTGATGAAAAATGCTAATAATCATCTGAGCCTTCAACGAATCATAAGGTTTTTGTTGGTGGGGAATCTTGCCTTGATATTGATGGTTTCTAATGGATCAGGGTGGTGTTTGCTGAAGGATGGAGTGGCTGTAGCAGTTTCTTAAAGAAACCGTAACAGTGAAGTTTGCCGCATCCAAGTCCCTACAAAGGACATGAACTCTTCTTTTCATGAAAGATTTCTTGTATCGTTCAATGCTGTTTGGTAGCATTTTACCCACAGTACAACTTCTTTTGAAATTGGAGTCAGTCTTCTCAAACCCTCTCACTGCTTTATCAACTAAATTTCTGAAATAGTTTAAGTCCTTTGTTGTCATTTCAACAATGTTCAGACATCTTCACTAGGGCTAGATCTCATCTCAAGAAACCACTTGATTTATCCATAAGAAGCAACTCCCCATCCATTTAAATTTGACCATGAGATAGCAGCAATCCAGTCACATCTTCAGGGTTCACCTCTAATTCAGGTTCTCTTGCTGTTTCTACCCACCTCCTTCACTGAAATTTTGAAACTGTCAGTCATAGAAGTCAGAATCAACTTCCTCCAGACTCCTGTTAATTTTGATATTTTGATCTCCTTCCATGAAACATCAGTGTTTTTAATGGCATCTAGAATGCAGAATTCTTTCCAGATTTTTCTTTGCCCAGATTTTGGATCTGGGCAAAGAAAGTTGGTTGTCTAAACTGTGGAATGCTACTGATCTCTGATGAGCAGAGGCCAGGGATTCTTCCTAACATCTGCAATGCCCAGGAGAGCTCCTCCACAACAAGGATTATCCAGCCCAAAATGTCAATAGTGAAAAGGCTGAGAAATCCTTACTGGAGAAAATATGTGGAAGCAGAGAAGAAAAAAAAATTAAAAGGCAGAATGGGAACATATTGGGTTAAAAGACAGAGGAGTCAAGCATATGAAATTGCTAAAAAAAAAATAGAAATAGAAGGGAAATGTAAAGGTAGAGAACAATATATGTGTGTATGTATGTGTG